CCTGACTTTGGTTCTTAAAGCACCTCAAGTTCTCAGACTTTTAGCAGAAAATGTACCAGTAGAGGGTACCAACTAGGAGAAGAGTATTATAGTTATAGGACTGTTGCAGCTGCTGGTTGATAGGTGTAAAAGAAAATCCAGGATTATCAGTATTGCTATCCATGTCCACTTTACCAGTACAGCAACCTGCAAACAAGTGAACAAAATCCCAAAGGAAACCAGAAATAAGACCAGAACCCAAAAAAGTAATGGATACTGTTTTTGGAGGATCTGAACCCTTATTGAATCATTTCAACAAATTTAGGCTTAAAAAGAAAACCATGCTAAGAGTTTTTAATTTTCCAAGATACCAGCTTTTTCTGCATGCCTTTCAGTATCTAAATAATTGTGATAAAAATTTGTTTCCAAACAAAATGTGATACTATCATCAATTTTTAAAAACTATAATAGCATACAATAAATTCTTTTCATTAAAAATATTAGGAAGACTAGAGGGAGTGAACATATGCTAATTTCTTCATCATTTATTCAGGGAAGCAGTAGGCAGTGTTTTATTTCTGAGGTTAAATTTCAAGAGATAAAAATTCAAGCATTTATTTAAAGATAAAAAAATGGTTACTAATGGGATGACAAGAAGTTTTCTGAATTATTAAAGTAGGATGTAATGAAAAGTCACTGGTTTAAAAATGGTAAAAAAAATAAAAATAAAAGAAATACAGTGAAAGAGATGAAGAAATGAGAAAAAAAGAACAAGTATACTAGGTTACATCATAAATAAAATCTAAGAATATATGTCTGAAAGAAAGACGAGTGAAACAAACCAACTCTGTTAAAATAAGTGGGAAGCAAAGATATACCAGGCAAATACAAGTAGAAGTTGCAATTAGCAGGAAAATAACCTTAGGAGAAGAGTGTTAAAATAGAAAAGTATTGAATTAGCCAGGCACAATGGTGCATGCCTGTACTCCCAGCAACTTAGGAGGCTGAGGCAGGGGGATTGAAAGTTCAAGACCTTAGCAAATTAGTGAGGCCCTAAAGCAATCCAACTCAATTTAAAAATATTATGTCTTTTAATCATTTATCTGTTGATGGGCACCTAGGCTGGTTCTATAATTTGGCTGTTATGAATCGTGCTGCTATAAACATTGATATATGTATATACCATTGTAGTATGATGATTTAAATTCTTTTGGATGAATACCAAGGACTGGAATAGCTGGTTATATAGTAATTCCATTTCTAGTCTTTTGAGGCATCCCCATACGGATTTTCAAAATGCTTGTACTAATTTGCAGTCCCATTAACAATGTATGAATATACCTTTTTCCAACATCCTCATCAGTATTTATTATTATTTGTAGTCTTGATGATCACTGTTCTAACTGAAACAAGATATGAAATTTTTGTGTAGTTTTGATTTGCATTTCCCTGATTGCTAAGGATATTTAACTTTTTTTCATATATTTGTTGGCCATTTGCATTTCTTCTTTTGAAAAATGTCTGTTTAGATCATTTGCCCATTGGTTGAAGTGTTACACACACACACACACACATACAAACACACACACATACAAACACACACACACAATGGAGTATTACTCAGCATAAGTAAAGATAAAATTAGGTCATTTGCTGGCAAATTGGTAGAACTGGAGAACATCATGCTAAGAGAAATAAGCCAGACTCATGAAATCAAGGGTTGAATGATTTCTATGATCTGTAGAAGTTAGGGGGGGGGGGAATGGAATAAGAAAGGATCTCAAGAAAACAGAAGGGTGATCAACAGAGTAGAGAGAAGGGAATTGAGAGAGAGAGAGAGAGAGAGAGAGAGAGAGAGAGAGAAAAGAAGGGCTTGGTGAAGTACTGGGAAATGAAATTGACCAAATTATGCTATGTTCACATAGAATATATCACAATGAATCCCACTTTTATAATTGTAGTTAAATAAATTGTATTAATTATAATCAACATATAATTAATTATACTTATAATCAACTAAATAATACATATTCCTTCTATATTAAAAATAGTAGAAGGAAGTTGGGTTATAAGTTGTAAAATTTCCAAGTACTTTTTTGGCATTTGTATTTCTAATCTTCTTGAATTATATATGTGTGTCTTTTTCCATATTTAGATATTTAGGTGCTTGCTGATCTGTGATCTAGGTATGATTCTACACACTTCTGTCATGAATGTGAGTGCTCTACCTTGTAGAAACTAAAGGAAAAACCAAATGCCAGCATTTATTTTCTATTCCACTCCTTATTACAGACCTGATTCAAAAGCTTTAGCTTTTTCCATCTAAATTCTAAGTTGCATTAGGGCCAAATTCTATGCCTTTACCACATAGCTATTTTAACCAGAGTAACACTTCAAGCCTTCTCAAACTTTCTCTCACTTTGTGGCAGAGCCTCCATCTCAATTACTTATTATATACTAAGTAATTGTTATATACAAGTCCCCCAAATTATCTCCTTATGGTGTCCCAGAAAATTATTTCAGGAAGATATATTTAAACTTGGAATTGAAATGAAGTCTTCAATAATATAAATCATGCTAAGTAACCCATGTAGTGTCTATTTTTTTAGCTCATATTTTTTAATATTTCAGCAGAGCAGAAAATATTCCAATAGTTAGTTTTTTGGAAAGACTCATTCTTTGTACATGGCCCTACATTCACACAGAACACCATATGAAACACTTACATTGCCTAAATAAGTGGGAATCACAACAAAAATTTTGACCTGAGCCTTAGTTTTGACCATGTTCAAGTATTCTCACTTTTTTCTGTCTTTGGTGGATTGGAAAATCTCCTGGAATTGGAACCCTCTTTCATCGACTTAGATCTTCACCTTGTCTAGATCTTCCCAATGCTGGTATTCTCCACAAACAATGAAAGTACTATCTGTACTTGTCATTATATTGCAGTTAAGTCTGGACTTGATTGTTGAAGCTTGGGCCTATCCAGCCATGACCGGATTTGCTGCACCTTCAGAAGTATCCAGATTATTCTTTACTGTGCTAACTTAGACTTTAATCTTTCCCTCTGGACACTTGATTTAATTTGACATCTAAATAGCTCCTTCTGAAAATATCCTATTCATTTACTTATTCAGCAGATCTATATGAAACCTTTACTCTGTGCCTGACAATGGCTGTCCATACTTTGATTTTGTTTCCTAGAAATTTTTAAAATTTGTATTATAGGAAACCTTAATAAATAATTTATAACTTCTTTGTGAGCAATCATCTGGAAAAAACTTAAAGCACTTCTGTTATAACTTCTTAGTTTACCTAATAAGGTTAGACATACATTTGCCAAAGGGGACTGATTTTGAAAACAACAGAACTTGAATGACCAGAACCAATAAAGCAGGAAAAAAACTGAGGCAGAATGAGACTGAGAAGAGGTCTGGTTGATGAAGGGCTTAGCTGGGCTTGAATTTGATTAAAGGTAATTCTACAGGAACGTTGAAATTGTTTAATTAGAAATTATTTAAGGAGATTTGATCTTTTTTCTAATGAAGAGCCACCTTCAAGGGTATTGCACATATACTATAATTTCTTTCAACTGCTGCTGAGAATGTCTGAGTTATTTTATTAAAGTCACAGTGGCTTTTACAGAAAGAGTTCCCCTGGGAGGGAGCTTATATTATGACCAATTAGAAAATTAACATATCATGTTACTTTTGGTTTTGAAATTTAACTTTTGAAAATTACTAACATTAGTAAAAAAATAAAATAAAATAAAATTACTATGGTAAATGATGAATGATGTGTTCTAAAATCATGCACTGGATTCTTAGCATTTGTAGCAAAGTTCACATCATTCAGTGGTTGCCTTGACCTTCACACAAGAAACCTTAAGGGACAGACCGTTGAGTAAATAACATCCATGTTTGCAGTGGTTTCAGATTTTCTGTGTAACATTTTTCCTCAGTGTTACCCGCTGGACTTCCTTATTCAAAACTAAGGCCAATACATCTTCTTGCCGAGGTGGTATTTATAAGACATCCTGCAGAGCTAGCCTGATGGAAGGTAATATTGGACAGGCCTCATCTAGTGGATTTATTCAGAATCTAGTGTAATACAATCTTGAACTTCATAAGACTCAAATATCATACTTAATGGAAAAAAATGACAAAGAAAATGCTGGAAATTGGGACTGGTGAGGACTCCAATGTATTGATATTATGAGAAGAGTCATCAGAATACCTTAAAATAACTGAACAACTTTGCTCAAAGCAATGCTGCTATCACCATTCTTTCTTCCTTCTGTCACTTCTTCTATAAATCTGCTGCCAGAATGGAATTTACATGGCAGCACAGGAAACTGAGTCCTCAGGGAACTGGAGTGAAGTGGTAGTTTATTTCTGGTAGGTAAAATGTTCTACTCTCCTTCACTTAGCAACAAAACAATTGAATGATGTGGATTGGAACAATAGAAGTGCCAAGAAGCCTTAAATTGGGTGGGGTTGTGGCTAAGTGGTAGAGCCATTGCCTCCCATTGGGTTCCAGTCTCTGTGTTAATAAAAAAACAAAAAGAAGAATATGAAGAAATCCTCCTTAGTTTACACTAACAGAGCCTTGCGGTTGACAGTAGAATTTGCAACTAATTGAATGTGCCAATAATGATTCCCCCTCTCTTTATACAGTTCATTCTTATGAAATGGTTTTGTTTGCATATCTAGATTTTTTAAATTCATTTGATGTTGCTTTTCAGTTTCTTTCCCCCTTCCTTGTTGAGGATAACATTATGACACAACTTAGTAAAAATAAGGAAATGATGGTTACCAGGTTTCTTAACATGTATTTTCAATTATGGCATCATAAATCAAACTGGATTTCAGTAATGAATTCTAGTTGTTTGTCTAAAATGAGATAATAGAAAATTATAACTTGGGGAAAAAGTGACAAGTGTCTGAAATTTTAATGCCATATTTTTATAGCAGTCAATTTTAATAAGCAACCAAAATATGATTTTTTTGTTTGTCTTTCAGCTGTTTACCTCTGCAAAAGAACAATGCAAAATAAGGCAAGACTAGAACTTGCAGATTATGAAGCTGTAAGTACCAAGGACTTTCTAGAAATTAAAAAAAAAGGCATAAAATGGGCAGGAACAAAACCTATGGTCATTTCTGAATTTCTGAGTACTCCAGTAACTTTCTACATTCATTGATCTTTTTTTTTTTTTAGATGTTGATGAACCTTTATTTTATTCACTTATTTATATGCGGTGCTGAGAATCAAACTCAGGCCTCACACATGCTAGGCAAGTGCTCTTACCACTGGGCCACAGCTCCAGCCCCATACATTCATGTATCTTAAGGATCAGATTTCTGCGGATCAGGCAGCAAATTCCTTTATAAATCCCTGTTTGCTTGCTTCCTCTCTTCATCCACATCGAGGACAGTGAAATTCTAAATACACAAATTCAATGTAGAAGAGAGAAACATATTTTATTTTCTAAAATTGATTTACCTGTAAATATTTCATATAAATACTAACACAAAGATATCCAAACTCTGAGAATTAAAGACCATTTATATTAGGAACATGTTTTTTATTGCAAAAAACAGGGTGTTTGCTAGCAGCAGATAAATTAACCTGATATAATTTGTTCAAATGGTTACTGTGTTGTGATTGATGAACTTCAAATCATTGAGTAGAAATAAGTACTGGGCTGCCAAGGATCTACATTTATTGTTAGGACAAGAATAAACTAAATCTGGGCTAGGAATGAATTGTTTTCCTGTTCCTCCATAAAATGAACACAGAAAAATCCAGTGGATTTATCTGGAACACTTTTCTCATACAAGGTAATTTCACTATTTTGCAGACACATATTGGATTTATAGTTGTATTATCTAAAGTCAGTCATTCTTAAAAGTTAATATTATTTTTTTGTTCTGTTTCCTCCAAGACAATATGAGGACTGGCTGATTTGATGAGCATGACTTGTCATTCAGAACCAGAGTACACATAGAGAAATTCTATATTTGTCTTTTTTCATAAACATATGATAAATAAACTAGATAGGGTAGTACAGGTGAGCAACAAATCTTCTTCATCTGTGGCATATTTTTCAGGAGAGCCTGGCCCGGTTGCAGAGAGCATTTGCAAGGAAGTGGGAGTTTATATTTATGCAAGCAGAAGCACAAGCAAAGTGAGTCCTTGTGAGTCTTTTGGAAAATTTGTTCAAGTTGTGGCCTTTTGTCCAGAGAGGCACTGCACTTAACACTACTTATCTTTATTGTTTTGATGTCAACAGAGTGGACAAGAAGAGAGACAAAATTGAAAGGAAGATCCTTGATAGCCAAGAGAGAGCATTCTGGGATGTCCACAGACCTGTGGTAAGAAAACTACAAGGTTCTTACAAATCTACATCCTGACTTTTAGCAAGTCAGGGATGCCCTGAGAAAGCAAGGAAAAGACTGTGGCACCCCCATCATATGTCCCACAATGGCTGCATGAATGAGTTAAAGAAACATGGTTAAGATGACCCAATTTAATAGTGTAATATTTAATTTATGAAACTATGCATTAGTACACACCTGTAATTTTGGTTACTTGGGAGGCTGAGGCAGGAAGATCCCAAGTTCAAGGCCAGCCTTGGCAACTTAGAGAACCTGTCTCAAAAACAATTTTATTTTTATAAAAGGGGCAAGAATGGTTGGGCAGGGCGTACCTCATTAAGAGAGCTCTTGCCCAGCATGTACAAAGTCCTGGAGTAAATCCCCAGCACCAGAGAAACAGGGAATCAAACCTGATCATTTTTTCAAATATGGCATCTTTTTTCCACTCATGCTTGATATTTGATATTTGAGGTGTTTGATGCTGCTATAAACACTTGAAGAAAAAAACACTGCAATAAAGCAGTCTTTTTATGGCAGTAAGCTGCTTATAACTTTTGGCTTTACAGGGAAAGTATAAGTTAAAATGTTATTCCTGCCCTAATTTTTTCTTTTTTGAAACATATTAATAACCTATTGTTTATTTGCACAGTCTAACATTTTATGTGGCTCAAATTCAAATCAATTGATATTTTTAATGATGGAACACTGGATCTGTATACAGTTACTATACACAGTAACTTCTCCCTTAATAAAGTTAAACTATGTGCCTCAGAGTAACAAATAATGAATGTCCTTAATTAATACCAGAAAACTTTGTGGAAGATATTAAACTATGGTAATAACCATCCATAAGATAGCATGTCTAATCTCATTTATTATTTTCTATTTTGATGTGATACCTTTTTCTCCTCTGGATTTAACTTCAGACAAAGCATCAGAAAATAATATTTGCATAAGTATTACTAGACTAAATATCAGCATGAGAGATAAATCAAGACAAATCATTTAAGGACACCCTAAAATTTTCCTCTCAATTACCTTCAGAGTCAGACCAAAATAAAAAACACTATAAAGGGTTGTTTATATAAAGGTATGTATTTCAACTTCAGATAGAAAGGCAATCCTTAAGTTCTATTTTGAATTTGCTTTCTGTTGATTTATCAAGATAGAATTGAGAATTAATTGATTTTTCTATTAAAAATTCAGTTTGAGTTTTATTACACAGAAAAAGAATTGTGAGGTCACACACATACTACGTAGCAAGGGTATGAAGTAGGACTTTTACTTGTTCGTTTGTTTTAGGCAACTCCTAGAAACTAGTCAATACGTTATGTCCTATATTCATCTACTTTGTGCCTCTTGGATATCTATCTGGTGGCCAATTTATTTCCTTGTTTAGTTTACATGACCTAGAACTTCCTATTATCCCAAATGACTCATACCAGGTTGGCTTCCCTGTCCTGCTCACTTATATTCCATGCTTTGAGATGCCCAAATCTAAATTGATCCACCATACTCCTTGGCTCCATTGCCTAAGAATCAACTCAAGCAGAACCTACCCACAGTTGTTTCCCTTAAAACATGTGAGCCATACTCATATCTTCCATGTCTCCTACCAGCAAAGAGCACATTGAGTGTTCTGCATGTCCCTGCCACATTCAACTATAAAGTCAAACCAAGGAGGGCCTGAAGCAGGAACCACCCTGGAGCCATTAGATTTATCTCCTTTACTTAACTTGAAGATGCTTATGGAGAGCTTTACATCACCTAGATGGTGATAAGATCTGAAAGCCTATATGAGAGATTTGAAGTTAAACAGATATTCCTAGAGCTGAGTTTCTTCTTCATCTCCTGTCTTGACTGTGGCAGCAATGACTCTTTCTGCCATGTTGAAGTCATCTTGTAAAGTTCAAATGTCTTCTAGACAGAATTGGTGAAACCAGGTTTTGCTGACACCAAATTATTTTGACTGGAGAAGCCTGAAACGATGTGTAGGTAAATTCCAGACAGGACAGAGGTTTAATCTGGCGTGTCCTTGGACCCACTATTGCATACCACCCTTCTGTCTTAGTATCTGAGAGATGGTCCAGTTGTGTCCACTTCCCAGTTTTTGCCATGTTGGCCAAAGACTAGTAGCCAAGAGGAATGGGGAGAACTGGGGCAGAGTGTTAAGCAGTGTCCTTTTGGGATTCAGAGGCCTATTTGTAAAGTGGAAACATACCTATCTTGCCATGTTGATATAAACATTAATATAAATATCATTTGGCACATGAATAAAAACAAATGTTCAACTTCCTTTGTAAAGAGAGATACAGAGATAGTACAAAAAAAGTTACACAAACATGGAATACAGTAAATTTTCCATGATATTTATACAAATGTGACACCTACATATCATTGGTTGCACAAATGTCTACCCATCTAGCAAAACAGAATTAAAAAGAATCACAACCTTCTTTTTTAGTTCAGGGGTCATAACCAGAATAATTTTTCTATATTTTAATTGGTGCATTATAATTATATGTAATAGTTGGATTCATTTTTACATATTCTTACATGCACACAATATAATAATATAATTTAGTCAATATCATTCTCCAGTATCTCCCTTTTCTCTCTCTCCTCTCTCCCCCTAGTCTTCTTCCTCTACACTGATAAAACAAATCTATTACATTGATGATTTATTCATTTAATATAACTTTCAACTAGCAATTATAGAAGCTTGTTGCACTAGAGGGTAAAGATAAAGATAGATAAAGTACTGTCTTTCTGATTAAGATATTCAGAGTCCTAGGTAATCAAGATGGAGATTTAACTAGATAATTATGGTGCAAATACCATAATGGGCTCTAGAGCATAGCTATGAATACAGCTACTCAAAAATAGAGGCTTAGTCAGTGAGGTGGCACACACCTATAATACCACGGGAGGCTGAGGCAGAAGGATTGCAGAAGTTCAAAGCCAGCCTAAGCAATACAGAGAGATCCTTTCACAAAATGTAAAAAAGGGCTGGAGTGTAGCTCAGTGGTAAAGTTCCCCTGGATTCAATCCCCTGTAAATTCCCCCCAAAAAAGGTGGGGAGATGGCAAGGGATGTAGCTCAGTGATAAAGCACTTGCCTGGTACAAGTGAGGCCCTGGGTTCAATTCCCAGTACTGCAAAAAATAAATAACTAAATATAATAGAAACTTATGTTAAGCTACTTAGAACTGGGAAAACTTTTAGTGCATAAATATAGTAGACTGAATCTCAAGGATGACTGGCATATAAATTTTAGTTAAAATCAGTTTTATGTTTAAAAATGCAAGCAAAAAGCAAACACTGAAAAATATTTGTAGCAAGTATGATAAATTTTACTACTCTTACTGTAAAAATAATTTGCAACTTGTAAAATGTGACTTCACATAAAATAAAAAAGGGTTTAAACTGATAATTTATCAAAAATATAAAAATGACTATTCAAATTATTGAAAAAGTATTTAATCTTTCTAGTCATGAAAAAGTAAATTTTTAAAAACTTAAAATTAATTATGTGCAATCCTGGCAATAACAATAAGAAGATAAATGCTCCCATTTAACCATAAGGGATAGTTAAATGAGATATACCCAGGGCTGGCAGTGTAGCTGAGTGGTAGAGCACATGCTGAGAATGCCCAAGGCCTGTGGGTTCAGCATCACAGAAGATATGGAGAAAGACTCACAAAACATACTGTATAACTCAAAAAGAGAATTTCAAAGAATTTTAAAGACATGGAGAAAACCTATACTGAAATATGAAATTCCCTGAATACAAAATCATATGGAAAAAAATCTCAATTTTAATTTTAAAAAATCAGTGCCTACAGAAACAATTAGGAAAAAATACATGAAATGTTGGTTGTACTTATTGTGAGGTATTTGATATCCCAAAGGCAATTTTAATTTTCTAATAAGGGGCATATGTCACACTTGCACTCTGAAAAGTTATGCATAATAAAATATTCTTAGACCTTCATTGAGGTAGATGTGTGCTTCTGCTGTGCCTGGAAATGCTCAGAACATAGCTGGTGTTTGCCATTCCGGGCACTGCGTTTTCAGGGGTAACATGCAGAAACACTGCCATCTTTGGAGCAGAGTGAGCAAAGTGATGGGAAGGGGATGGTGATAACATAGATGAGAAGTAGAGAATATGAGAAATTAAGCTTAAGGCAAAGATGTTGTTACTCATCTGTCTTCAAGTATTTGAGCATCTATCATTTGGGAAAGGAAGTAGAATTAGCCTGCTTTACTTTGGAAAAAAAGGAGGCAGATTTTGTGTGAATGAACATTTTCATCCTTTTTTTATCCAGTACATTGCAGAGCAAGGAGATCTCTGTCTTCTCAATAGTCCAGGGTGGAAGGATAAAGTTTGTCTCTCCTGGCTCATTACTTGAACCTCACTCCAAAGAGTTGCTGTTTATCATTAAGACAGAGCAAGAGTGATATTGATTAGAAGGTCTCAGACTGAAATTTGAGAGCGTTGTATTCCAACCAACTTAGTGAAAAGAGATGGCACATCATGTTTTTAATCAATTCAAATTTTAAATTTCACTGTACTGCAGATTTTGTTTGATATTTAGTAAACTAGGAATGGAGTGTCCAGGTGGAGAGAAAATAATTTGAGGTTTAAATTGTAGTTGCTATATTATCAAGCATGACATTTGCTCCTTGATTGACATTTTTTTTCCTGTAACTGAAGTCCATTATTTTGTATGCAAAGTTAATATCTGATATTATTTTAAGCAGTAATCTGGTATTTAGTAAAACTAGGGCATGAGTTTCACACATGTGAAAGTAATCTAAATTCTCTATCCCATTCAGTCTCAACAATGCATATATAACCATTCTCTGGATGTGTTCCCACACAAAACACACATGAATGATTTTGGAAGTTTCATAATGTCGATTTTTAAAAGAAACTGAGGCAAAATTGATTTTAAAAAATTATTTGTATTGAACTGAGTTGCAACTCAGGAGGCA